AAAATAGCTTTCTCCAAAAATATTCTAACTACACATTTTCTGAGTCCTGTTACACTATGGAAGTTAAAAAAGGAAGTTAACATTATCAAAACAGTTTTACTTAACTTTAAAAAGTCATTCTTTTTTTTTCTATGTTACTGCTTTGTAACTCCCATTAATGTATTACGTCTTTACCAAAACTTCCATTGTAACATCCAATTACCTTTTTTAAAAATATATTTTATTGATTTTTTTACAGAGGAAGGGAGAGGGATAGAGAGTTTGAAACATCGATGAGAGAGAAACATCGATCAGCTGCCTCCTGCACACTCCTCACTGGGGATGTGCCCGCAACCAAGGTACATGCCCTTGACCGGAATCAAACCCGGGACCTTTGAGTCTGCATGCCGATGCTCTATCCACTGAGCCAAACCGGTTAGGGCATCCAATTACCTTTTAAAGAACAGTATTTATGCTGCCGTGTGGAAAATTAATATATAGAAACAAAATTGAAACTGCAGTTCATTTAGACGCCATGACCAGAGATATGGAAGAGGTACCAGTAGCCTGGATTAGAAGTGAATAAATATGAGGATTTATCTTGGGATAGAATATCCGGGACTTGCTGATATACTTAAGGCGAGAATGGAGAGGGAAGGAAGAGACAGGGATGCTTCTAGTCTTCGAGTTTGAGCTTCAGTGCTGATGCTATCCCAATAAGAGAGACATTTGGTTGGAGGTTCAAGGGGTAGGGGAGAGCTTGACCAGCAAGCAAATCAAGAGTGCCCAAATACAGTCATTGGCAACATTTTGTCTGCTGAGGAGTTACCTGTACAAGTTTGGCTGGAGAAGACTTTAATAAACACAATCATCATTATAAATAATATAAATTGTCTAAAGTCTGCCCTTTATCTCCTAGTTTTTCGATGATTGGACCAACTGATAGCATGAGCTGTGCTGTCACAACAAGAAACCAAGTGTATTCTGAAGACTGTGGCTCCAAATTTAATGGCATTTGCCAGAGAGATGTTGTCTGAACAATAAAAGCAAATCTGTGCATTTAAATAAGAAAGTGGAAGAAATGTGTATGGATGTTAACAGCGGCTATCCATTTCTTTAGATAAATTTACTTCATTTTCACTCAAATATAAATTTTTAAAATATTTTGTACAGAAATAAAACTTCAAAATAAAAAATATATTAATTTATTTTTAGACAAGAAAACAGAATTCCTTATTGCTTTAATGTTTAAAAAATAATTAAATTTAATCTTTTTCTAATCCTGCCTAATCCCCATGTGTGTTCTATTCCTTGATCTCTAACTCTTTCTAAGCATTTGGTAAGATTAATAGACCAGGCACATAGATACAGATATGCCATTTTTTTTCTTCATGGTGGGCCTTTACCCCAAGTTGCTATTTTCAATTTTATCAAAAAGAAATAAAACTTTCAGCTGGTAATAAAGTATTCAGATGTTGTAAGCATAAGCTGTCTATTTGTAGTAACATATAATTTTGTTTTTAGTGTGATTTTAGAATTTATTCTCCTTTAATTAAATTTGTTTTAAATATATTGAGAACTGTCTTATTCCCTTAGTTTTCTGACTGAAATTCTATAAAAAGTAAAGTTTCTAATTTTTCCTCTCATTTATTCAAAACACATTCATATTACAAAATAAATACCAAAGTTTGTGTCCACCTTATAAGTGAGGTAGTTATTTAAGTTCAAGAAGTTGTGTATAGTTAATTCTAAATCATCACGAATTTATACCCTATTAACTGTGACTCAAAGAAAAAAAAAAGATGGATGAGTTACTCTAAATTGCTAAGCAATTAACAAAATTAACTTGTAACCATGAACCAACAATAAAAATAAAACCTATATTATGAACCAAATTGAACACATCTACCTGTAATGCCCAATATTGTCTAAAAATTACTATTTTCAAATTTTCTTGGTTGCAACATGATGCATAGATGTTATATGCCCATACTTGATTACATGCTGACATTTGGCAGGATTACTTAAAGCCATTTGCTTTTACATAAAAGGAATGATGGGTGGGGTTCATAAAAATCTCCTTTTATCATTTATCAGAAAATTTCAACTACAATGAAGGAATTAAGCTCCATTAAAGATATTAAGAAAGGACTTGTTTGTATGTGTTTGCCCTATAACCTAGATATTCCCTTTTTCTCCAGAATCTCTATCACTCTATCTCTTTACTTACACTCACATTCCTTCTTGTGAGTGCACACAGATGATAGTTACCTAGGCAGGAAAGTAAACTCAAGCCAATATAACAAACACAGACTTGTTATAATTATTCAAATGTTCTGCAGGATTTGAATTTTATGACATACCCAGGCAGGTGTTATAAGCCCATCCTATTTCCTTGCTCTTACTTGGAAAATTAAATTTTTATAAAAATCTATTGTTTGGTCACTTTTAATGTCATTATTCTAGTTTATATTCTATAGTCTAAGCTTTGTAATTCTAATGTGTAATTCTATCAGTGATTATTATTTATAGAGTTAGGATCCTTCTTGGTGGGTTTTCCCTTGTTTTTAGTATAAAATCAAAGTTACTATGGTTAGTATCTATAATAATAAAAGCATAATATGCTAATTACTCAAGCAGCTCTGTTTCCCAAGATGGCGTGGTCGCTGTGCCTGTGCTGGCCGCCCAGGAGTGTCCGCGCCGGGAGCGGGACTCCGCCGCCTAAGACTGCTGGGTTTAGCAGCCCCTTAGAAGACCTGCAGAATCTAACTGTCCCTAGCTCATACACACACATCACACACGTCCACACACTCCTCTATCACTTCCTTGCACTCTCACACTCTCTCCCTCCCTACCTTCCTGCTGGTCGCCATTTTTCTCTCCTCTCTATGTCTCTAACTTTTAAACTGTTAAGTCTTGGCTGGTCTATTAATATAGATCCATTGCTTTTCATAACCATCATTGCATGTAATTGTTTATTGTTATTTTGTTTGGACCTAATAGAAGTTTCCTGACTTGTGCACTTAATGGGCAATTATGTGTCTTGAATTGATGAGGTTTTGACTGTAATCATTCACTCAATTTTTAAAAAAAATATATTTTTATTGATTTCAGAGAGGAAGGGAGAGGGAGAGATTGAAACATTAATGATGAGAGAGGATCACTGGTTGGCTGCCTCCTACTGGGGATCTAGCCTGCAACCCAGGCATGTGCCCTGACAGGGAATTGAACTGTGACCTCCTGGTTCATAAGTCGATGCTCAACCACTGAGCTACACAGGCTGGGCTCATTCAAGAGTTTTTAGTTCCTTTTGTCACTTGACCAGTTCCTATGCCCTACCCTGGTATAGTCTGGCTCCTCCAGGCCCTTGACTCATGCAGAAAAGAATAAAAAAAAATGAGTCTGAATGAGAAGAAAAGCAAGTTTTATTTAGGTAGAGAATAAGAATCTAGAACTCGGGTTCCTGGAGACAGGTCCAGGGTTGAGCCATGGTCTGGTTTCCCGGAGCGGATGTAAGTGAATTCACGAGTGAATTGCACACTGTGACAGTCAGTTCTTGGGACTTTATGTGTTTCCAAGGGTGGGCTGTTTCTGGACTCTGTTGCACAAATTCTGACTCCGCCTTCATGTTGAGAGGGGTTCCTGTTCCCAATATGGTCCATTTTGGAAGTGTCATGGCGCTCAACCACCCCACCTCTTCTACTTATAGTGTCAGCTTTCATTATAATGGTGACATTTTAAGATTAATTTTGGGGTGATATTGGTTAATAAAATTATACAGGATTCAGGAATACAATTCTACAGTACATCATCTGTATTATATTGTGATTACCATCCCAAGGCAAACTTTCTTTCATTACCATTTATCCCCGCTTTATCTTCTTCTCTGGTCAATGTTTCCTTCATCTTGGACTGGTCGGGTTGTAGCTTTGATTTCTGTGACCACCTCAGGAGTTTTTTCTGACATAAACTGTTTCCGTTTGATCATGCCTGCAGGTGGGGGCTTTGATGAGATGACCGAGAGACTTATCCTCCTATGATGCCCCTCCAGCTTCCTCATTTTACTTGTTGGGAGTTTTCCCTAACTTCTTCCTATCCTGCCACACTTTCACAGCCTCAGAAGTGAAAAATAACTTTAGTCTTTCACTTTATTTTTGGTATGCTCACCTGAGGATCTGTTTATTGATTTGAGAGAGAGAGAAAGAGAAGAGAGAAACATCATTCTGTTTCCTCCTGAATGTGCTCCCACCTGGAATCTAACCTGAAACCTAGGTATCTGTCCTGAGCAGGAACCCACAACCTTTTGGTGTACGGGACAATGCTCCAATCAACTGAGCTATCCAGCCAGGGCTAGTCTATTCCCAAACTGTGGTAGTCATTTCCCAGTTTTTTCTCTATTAAAATCTAGGTTTGCTGCAAATCCACTTGATATCAACAAATCCCCTTGAACTGGAAACTCCATCAGCATTCAGAAAAGCAAATAATCCATGCCCGTCAATTTCAAACCTAAAAAAGGAACAACAAAATCAGTTTGAAAACCACTTACAACTGTAACAAAAAATAAAATTAAGAATACAGTGATTTTTCCCAGCAGGTGTTGCTCAGTGGTTGATCATTGACCTATGAACCAGGAGGTCACAGTTTGATTCCTGGTCAGGACACATGCCCGGGTTGCAGGCTCGATACCCATAGGGGGCATGCAGGAGGCAGCAGATCAATGATTCTCTCTGATCATTGATGTTTCTCTCTCTTCCTCTCCCTTCCTCTCTGAAATCAATAAAAATATATGTTTTTAAAAATACAGTGAAACACTTTATACCAGACACTGAGATCCATACTCACCCATCACTGTATGCTACACAAAAATATGTGTTACATTAAAGAAATGGAAGATTGAATGTATTATTAGTGTAATCTGTAACATTATTTAGAACAATAGGAAGACAGATATAGGCAGACATGGAAAAGTCAATGATATAAATATATCTCTATTTCTATTACATTTACCTATATCTACCTCTATCTATCATCTATCTATCTATCTATCTATCTATCTATCTATCTATCTATCATCTATCTATCTATATATCTATCTATCCATCCATCCATTTTCTATTTATCAATCATCTATCTATCAGGAGTCACTAAATCTAAAGGTCTCTGGAATTTTTTTTAAAGCAGTTTTCTCAGACTTATAGATACAGAAAACAGACTGACAATTGACAGAGTGGAATGGGATTATGGGGCTGGGTGAAAAAGGTGAAGGAATTAAGAAATATAAATCGCTAGCTACAGAATAGTCTTGGAGATATAAATTATAGCATAGGGAATTCAGTCAATAATATTGTAATAACTATATATGGGATGAGGTGGGTACTGGATATGTCAGGGGGCCACTCAGTAAAGTGCATGATTGTCTAACCACTATGCTATACATCGAAAACTAATACAAGTCAATATTGAATATATACTATAATTGAAAAATAATAAATAGCAGTTTCCTGGCATATTTTTAGCTAATGTTCCTTTTTGAAAGTAATAAGATTTATACATATATTTGGTACTTTTGAAACATACTGAAACAATAACCAAAGATACTAATTATAATGTTGTTCTTATTAATTTGCTCTGTTGTTGACAAAAATTATCCCTTTTTTGTAATAAATATAATTTATCTTATCATACACATGTCAATATTTAATTTTAACTAGCACTTAATGAAATATTAAAGGAGGAATACATGTATACAAAAGAAAATTAGTACAGTTCTTGTAGGTAAAATAGATATAAGTGAGGAAACAAGATTCACTCAAGAAATGCTTTCATAAATAAATAATGTTGCTTATGATGGACATTTGGAAAGTTAAAGACAACTACATGTTCTCTACTTAAATAAGAAAGATCTTGTACAAATTTAAGTGGTTGGTTGGAATTTGCAAAGTAGTTGAATTTGAATTATCAATAGGAGGGCTGATTAGCAAGAGTTTGACAGTGAAAAAATAAAATAAGAAACAAATAAAATGAAAAACTTCACTGTCATTTAACAAGGTAGAAAGAAGATGGGTTGCTATAGGGTATGTTTCAGTGTGAAAGGGCACATATCACAACTCAAACCATGTAAGTTTTTTGTGCAACCAGAATAAAACCTTCCCTACTAAATTCGAAACTCACCAAGCATTGAATGTGGTACCATTTGTCCATTTCCAAGGCTCTCCTTGTTTTCTGCTCAACCCAATCCAGTGCATAGATGTTCCTGTGTGCTTCTTCAAAAAGTCCTTTCACAAAAATCAGGGCATAATCTATTTAATATTTTAGAGCACATTGCTAAACATGCTTCTAGCCCCAGCCAGATTTTATGATTTACATCTTAATTTGCATGCCCTAAGGTGTCAACAGCAACTAACAGCACGTGTTTAGTTTAGTTTTACCAAAAAGATTTTTGCTTTGCTCTTGTTTCTTAAATGTCTCTAAGTAGTAGAATGACTTTATCAAGTCACTGAAACTCTCTGATCTACCCTGACTCGAGTTGTCTTTAGAGGTAACTTCTGTTTCAACTTCTAATTCTAATGCATAAACCATTAATATCTTTTAGTCACAGAATGAATGACAAAGGTGATAAATTGATATGATATGATATCTTTCTGGATGGCAAAATCAGAAGCTAAGCAGTTTTTATAGAAACTAATTCAGCATGTTCTTTAAAGGTGACAGAGAACTAATGCTTATATTTTGTTTTCTGCACAGCTTTGCTCTCAAAAATCATCGAAGAAAGATTTCAGGGGGGAAGGGGTTTAATGGAAAGTATAAGTACTGTTAAAATAGTAAAAACTCAGTAATGAAGTACTTTGACTAAATACCAGAATAAAAATGCCGTTGCTGTTGTGTTTTCTCATAGAATCAGAAATCAAACTAACTTCTGAATACCATGTATTGCAATAAAATATATTGAGTGATGAGTTTAGTCCCTCTTCTCTGGGTTCCTAACTATTGGACCACAGACTGATTAGTCAGCTTTTCTTTACAACAAACAACTTCCGCTGTTACACTGAGGCCTGAATTCCAAGTTCCTCTTTCTCTGCCTTTTCATTTATTCCATTAATTGTCTCACTTTCTTGAAACTGTATGGATTTTCTTCACATCCTCATCTCTAAATTTTCATATCCTCCGTTTGTTTCAAGTTTACTCTGGAGAGAATGCCATTGTAAAGGTATTAAAAACAATCTATTTAATAATCTAAGAATGTTGAACAAAAATATTAGCTATCTGAGCAATATATATTGTGACTAAAGACATACCATCACTAGATAATTTGCTTGTGTTCAAATCCAAGTTCAACAAATTATGACTATGACAATGACTGATACTTAATATATCTGTGCTTCATTATCCTCACCTTTAAATGGGGATATGTAAATATTTACTTCAGAGGTATTAGTTGAAGATTGAATGAGGTTTGTTTTGTTTTGTTTTATCTTTATTGTTGAAAAGTATTAGAGATTTCCCATTTTTTCCCCCCACTGACCCTTTTGGCCCCCATCTGCTCCCTACCCCAGGCCTTCACCACCCTATTGTCTGTGTCCCTTGGTTGTGCATATATGCATATAAATTCTTTGGTTAATCTCTTTGCACCCATCATCCCCTGCCTTCCCTCTGAGAGTCTACAGTCTGTTCCATGCTTTTATGTCTCTGGATATATTTTGTTCATTAGTTTATTTTGTTCATTAGATTCCACATATGAGTGAGATCATGCGATACTTGTCTTTCTCTGACTGGCTTATTTTGCTCAGCATAATACTTCATAGTTTCAGTGCTTAAAACATCATCTGACTTACATTATTGAGTATTAATTTTTGCCACTTTTATTCTCTTTTTGTACAAGCTTAAACTCTGAAATGATTGAAAACTTTCCGCTTTTCTTACCATATCTCCAGGTGTATCAATTTGAGCAAGTTCTGATCCCTGTGAACTGCAAAATATTTTACTGTCTGTTCAATTCTTAGTATCTGCAGAAAAATAGAAACACTTATCTCCTACTCCAATCCATTCTCTTAAACATGTTGTAGTTTGGGGATGTTCTGATGTTTTCCGTAAAATGCATACTGAAAAGAAGAAAGAAATTATCAAAATTTTAAAGTGTTTCTACCCATTCTTGTGAATCAATTTTACTTTTAACTCCCATGGTCTGAGGTTTGTAAAATTAGCTTCATTTATGGGATATTGAATGAATTCAATTCTGTCTACAAGGAAGACCATTTAGTGGCCAAGTAGCGTATTTTATTTTCCTGGCTTCTGTTTTGAGAAATGGAACCCATAACTTCTCAGGGTCTATATTGACATTCTCTCAAAAACAATGCATAAAATTTAGCAATCAAATATAATGTAAGCTTCAAAGACTAAGGTAAGAAATGAAGGATTCATTTTACCTCAAAGAAATGAGAAGGTCATAGACAAGAGAAGATATCCAAGTAATAGAATGAAACTCACCATAAATGATAACAAACTATTGAAACATAAGAGTTACTGTAACATTTGTTCTACTTCAACAATATTCAGTGCCAAAGGAACCAGAATAATAATTAATATATTTCTCTGAAAATTATTTTGAGAATTTACTGTTTCAGGATTTTAGTTAGGTGCTGAGTAATGAGACTAAAATAAAAGTCCATGCCCTCCAAATGTTTGAATAAGTTAATGGAACTGAAAAAGAACCAAGTAAATGTCCAAATGGAGGGCCAACTCCAAAGCTTTCTCTCTTCACTCTGCAATGATTATTTATTTACTTGTTTGTTTATTTTTTCTAATACTCAGAAGTGGATCCAGGCACCAAAGATGGGTAATAATATATATTGTATTTGATATCATACATATAAAACCCTAAAGACTCCATCAAAAAACTATTGAACTTAATAAATGAATTGGCAATGTAGCAGGATACAAAATTAACACTCAGAAATCTATGGATTTTTTTATACACTAATAATGAGCTCACAGAAAGAGAAACTAAAAAATAATCCCATTTACCATTGCAACAAAAAAAAATCAAGATACCTAGGAATAAACTTACTAAAGAGGTAAAAGACCTATACTCAGAAAACTACAGGTCATTGACAAAAGAGATAGAGGAAGACATAAACAGATGGAAGAACATACCGTGTTCATGGATTGGTAGAATCAACATCATTAAAATGTCCATACTACCCAAAGCAATCTATAAATTCAACGCACTTCCCATTAAAATACCAACGGCATACTTCACAGATCTAGAACGAACTCTCCAAAAATTCATCTGGAATAAAAAAAGACCCCGAATAGCTGCAGCAATCCTGAGAAAGAACAAAGTAGGTGGGATCTCAATACCAGATATCAAGCTGTATTACAAAGCCACTGTTCTCAAAACTGCCTGGTACTGGCACAAGAACAGACATATAGATCAATGGAATAGAATAGAGAACCCAGAAATCGGCCCGAACCAATATGCTCAATTAATATTTGACAAAGGAGGCAAGAACATACAATGGAGCCAAGATAGTCTCTTCAATAAATGGTGTTGGGAAAATTGGACAGATATATGCAAGAAAATGAAACTAGACCACCAACTTACACCATACACAAAAATAAACTCAAAATGGATAAAGGACTTAAATGTACGACAGGAAACCATAAAAATTCTAGAAGAATCCAAAGGCAACAAAATCTCAGACATATGCCAAAGCAATTTCTTCACTGATACAGCTCCTAGGGCAGTTGAAACTAAAGAGAAAATGAACAAATGGGACTACATCAAAATAAAAAGCTTCTGCACAGCAAAAGAAACCATCAACAAAACAACAAGAAAACCCACTGCGTGGGAAAACATATTTGCCAACGTCATATCTGATAAGGGCCTAATCTCCAAAATTTATAGGGAACTCATACAACTTAACAAAAAGAAGATAAACAATCCAATCAAAAAATGGGCAAAGGATCTAAATAGACACCTTTCAAAAGAGGACATTCAGAAAGCCAAGAGACATATGAAAACATGCTCAAAGTCACTAATCATCCGAGAGATGCAAATCAAAACAACAATGAGGTACCATCTCACACCTGTCAGAATGGCTATCATCAACAAATCAACAAACGACAAGTGCTGGAGAGGATGTGGAGAAAAAGGAACGAGAAAGATAAATATCACATGATCTCACTCATTTGTGGAATATAATGAACAACATAAACTGATGAACAAAAATAGATCCAGAGACAGAAGCATCAAACAGACCGTCAAACCTCAGAGGGAAGGCAGGGTAGGGTAAGAGGAGAGGGTAGAAATCAACCAAAGGACAAATGCATGAATATAAGCATAACCAGTGGACATGGACACGGGGTTGTGGGGGCATGTGCTGAAGGGTGGGAGTGGCTGCGGAAGGGTCAATGGGGGAAAAAGGAGACATATGTAATACTTTCAACAATAAAGAATTTTTTTTAAAGGCCATCTACGGGGGTGGGGGCAGACTCGAAGGGGTCAATGGGGGAAAAAGGGGACATATATAATACTTTCAACAGTAAAGATTTAATTAAAATATATATATTTTTTCAACACTTTTAAAAATTAAATTAATCAAATAAGCAATGATATAAAGACATCTCCATAGAAACCCTTTTCTCCAAATATTTGAATTGCAGATGTTTAAATCGATGACATTGAACTCCTAGGACTCTATAGTAACAGAGGAGACTGTGAGCAAGAAGCATATCCAGTACTCTTGGAAATGACAAAGGAAACAAGAACCAAGAGTATAAACTATTGTACTTTAAGTGCTAAATTAAGCAAAACATGCATAGAGACAATCAAGTACTGAAAACGATTAGGCCCTACCTCAGGAATAAAAATCTACCTTGTATTCTTTTCACAAAATAGACCCATAATACCCAGAAAAAAATGAATGTCTTCCTTTTTAAAAATCTACTCAAACAGAAAAAATTTTGCAACATTACTTATGTGATTATTTTGTAGTTTTCCTTTCAACATAGTAGGATAAAAATAAACAAATATTTCATAGAACAACTGTTAGTAATATTACTTACTCTTGATCCAAAATAAATTAGAGTAAAGATATACTGCAATTATGGAGGAGTGCTGCATGGTGGTGACAATATTAGGAATTGTACCAGAGTCACAATTTTGGCCCTGGAATTTATTTCTAAGGGGCTACTTATTCACTCTGGCCTCTATCTCTTTATATGTAAATGGATTTCATAATTATACCTATTTCATAGTCTTGTCAGAATTAAATATTTTAAAATGTATTTAACCTTAGTTCTTTAAGTCACACAAAGTACTCTCAATTCAAAAAAAGTTATTGCCTTCCCAGTGTGACTCAGTTGGCTAAGCATCCCATGCACCAACAGGTCACCAGTTCAATTCCTGGTCATGGCACACGCCTGGGATGTGGGCTCGATCTGCAGTAGGGGGCATGCAGGAGGCAGTGATTAATGTTTTTCTCTCATTAATGTTTCTATTTCTCTCTTTCCTTCTCCCTTCCTCTCTAAAATCAATAACAACATATTAATTTAAAAAATAGTTATTGCTATGGCTATCTGGAGGTCATCTGAGAATTTATGATTATTTTACTCCAAGATCAAGAACTACAATACAGTTGAGAAGATAACTATAAAACCTGCTGAATTGGTAGGAACCTGAGGACAAATCTCTACAAAGCAATTTATTGCTCCCAAACTGAGAGATTTTGAATTAAGCTTGAAATATAAAAGATATAAATGCCTGCTGAGCATAAGTAGCCATAGAAAGTTTATGAATTAAGCCACTCACCTTTAATGACCACTGCAATAATAGCAACAACAACAACAACAATAAAAGCTACGAATGCAAAAATCTTCAACTTGTGAACTGCAAAAAAATAAAATTAACATTTATAATAAAATTTCCAGAGAAACCCATACTGGATATTTATTATTCATTTATCCTATATAATAAAACTCTAATATGCAAATTGACTGAACAACAGAACAACCAGTTGCTATGATGCACACTGACCACCAGACATTTAATGCAGGAGCTGCTCCCTGGTGGTCAGTGTGCACCCACAGGGGGAGCACCACTCAGCCAGAAGCTGGGCTCACGGCTGGCAAGCACCGGCAGTAGCGAGAGTTTCTCCTGTCTCTGAGGCAGCACTAAGGACCCCTCGGGAGATGTCTGAGTGGGCCTAAGCTGGCAGTTGGACATCCCCCAAGGGGTCCCAGACTGCAAGAAGGTGCAGGCCGGGCTGAGGGATGCCCCACCCCCACCCCCCAGTGCACGATTGTAATGCACTGGGCCTCTAGTTCTTCCATAATATTCGGTCCAGAAGTTCTCATTAAAAGCATCTACCTCTTGGTGTTTTGTCTTGAAGGGTTTCTATTCTGAAAGAGCTTCATTTAAAACCAGTCTTTGCAGGTGACATTCATCATGATCTCTGCTACTCATATTGATAATCATTGGGCTTGGTGGCAAAGAATAATGCAGAGAAGATATTCAAGTAGAATCTATGGATGTTTCATGATTATTTCTGGTATTACATTTTTCATTGTTTGGGAAAGGATGGCCATATATGAAAGATACTGGGAGTCACAGAAAATCACCATGATCCAACTAGAATTTTCAAGGTATTTCATTAATAAGGATCAAATTGATGCCTCAGTAAAGAAGGAACTGATGAACACCACCTCAGGATGATCTTAAATTAAACCTGGATGCCTATGGGCCTTTTAAAAGTCTCTTGAGCATTTTTAAATAGAAATAAATTCGGGCCTCACAAACTTAACATAAAAAGCATCTAATTCTTAAAGCAGTAAAGGATACAATGGCCTTACAGAGTGCAAAGAAGGTAAGTGGCAATGATTGCTAGAGCAGTTCAGATGGGGTGAGGGGTGAGGAGATCACTTAGATTTGTAAGGCGGGAGGAAAGGCAAGGTTATTTCCAAAGCCGGAAATAGTGTGAATGGGGATCGTAATCAAGAAAGTATAAGGGTCATCAATAGGACTATGATCAGACAAATGTCTATAAGATATGTACAAATTTATAAACATCAAACATTGGAAAGAGAGGACAGTTATAAGGTCACATGACAGAAGAACTTAAGTATAGGATACATTGTTTTTTTTTATACTGTAAGCAATAAGGGGAAGAAGTTGAATGTGTTATGGCCGTACGAGTACATTAAAACACCAAAACATTTCTCAACTAAAATATAAAAGATGATACGGTTTTTCAAAATGCAAAATGCCAAATATCTGATGTGAAAAAAAGAAATAATTGACATACATATTACAGATACTGAAATAGTAATTGTCAGCGTAGACAGTTAAAAACAAAAGAGAAGAAAGCAAACTAAGCCTAAACCAGGAAACAGTTTCCCACTCACCTGAGGGAAAACCCGGCATCCTGCAGGCAGGAAAACAGCGTTGCAGCCCATCGAGGTGTGAGCTGGGTGGCATGGACGCAGGAAAACAAAACAGCGAGGAAGAAGGAGCCAGCTCTTTCACTGGGAGGAAGAAGCCAATGAGGCAGCAATAGGAGCCAAAATGGTGACCATAAAACGGAGAGCGTACTAGCCTGGGAAAGTCTAGGAAAGAGATTGGATCGTTTGAAAGAAAGCCTATTCTTCCCGCCCCGCCTCGCCCCGCCCTGCCCCAAAGAAGGAAATATATGGTATATGGAAGCTTAGCCGGGACCGTGAGGTAGCCACTACCCTATAGTATGCCTGCTCTCTGCCTCTCCGAGTGTGTACTGTCACTCTGAGTGGTCACCTTTTGCTCTAATAAATCTTGCCACTATCACTAAACTCCCTTGTGAATGTCCCTGGAATTCTTTTCCTGAAACACCACTGAAGAACCACAGCCTCCAGTAACAGTAATTAAAATAGAGTAAATCTACGAAACTTTCAAGTAATAGCTAATGCTTGCACTATACAACTTGCTCCAGAAAATAGCAAAAAACAAACAACATGACATCTGCAAGAGAGGGCATATGCTCAATCACGTAGGAATACATTTATTCACGTTAGCCAGATGTGAGCTGTTTCTTCCCATCCTTGGGCTCTGCAGGTTGAGACAGGGAAAGCAATCTTGGTTATAAAATGGGACAAATCTGTGGTCACCAACTTCTTATCTGTAAAGGAACTTTTAAAAAACATTTATATTGGGCTGTAATACACATACCATGAAATTCACTCCAGCTGTCTTCATCCACCAGCTTGTGCCCTCTCTTGCAGGTATAATACTCTACATGTTCTCCTAAATCTTTTATTACTTTACAGAAATGCTGCCCCCACCTCGCTTACTTTAGTAGTTTTCCTCTATAAGTAGATTGTCAGCATTCTTAAGCTGTCCTGTGTTTTGTTTTTTTGTTTTTCACTCACTCAGTGAAACGTACTTATCCAGGATTCTAGCCTGTTGTTACTAGTTCTGAAAGGATGGCAGTACGAAAAAAGTACATTACTAACATATGACTAACTGAATGTTAATGGACAAACAAAATAGATTCAAACTCATACTTGTTTTGATCAGAGATGAAAGTAGACTAGTTAGTTTCAGGAAGGGAAAAAAATAGGCTCATTCATAAAAAGAGTATCATGAAATCAGCAAAATATTTTTATCCTCAGGCAAGAAAAACATGCTAAGTGGCATTTTGAGTGCTACACATGGAGAGTAGAATTCATATTATTATAGGACTCCATGCTATTTCTTGGAATTATTTCTCATTTTTATAGACAACCTATACACAATCATAATAATTATACACACACCATATTCAGTCTATGAAGGTTCAGCATTTATTACTTGTGAGACCTTTAGAAAGTTGCCTAAATTCTGTTGCTCAGTTTTCTTTTCTGTAAAATTCAGAGCAAGACTGTCCTTCCCTTGTATAAATATTACAGTGATCACATGAGATAGTACATGGAGAATGCCTAAAATGATGATGCCTGGCATTTATGTGAAATATCTATCTATCTATCTATCTATCTATCTATCTATCTCTCTATCATCTATCTAATCTATCTTCATCTATCTATTCTATCTACACATAGAATTAGGGACATTTTTATCGCTTTAAAATCTGCTTATGTACATGTGAGTTAAAATAGAACTATATGCCTTGCAGATCATTTTGTGTATGAAACTATATTGTTTTTTAAAATGTACATGTTTTTTAAAATTTAAATTCTTTATTGTTGAAAGTATTACCTATGTCTCCTTTTTCCTCCATTGACCTCTCCCCCCCCCTTAGCACATGCCTTCACTCCCCTACTGTCTGTGTCCATTGGTTATGCTTATATGCATGCATACAAGTCCTTTGGTTGATTTCTTACTCCTCCTCCTCCCCCTCCTCCTGAAGTTTGACAATCCATTAGATGCTTCTATGTCTCTGGATCTATTTTTGTTCATCAGTTTATGTTGTTCATTATATCCCACAAATGAGTGAGATCATGTGATATTTATCTTTCTCCCACTGGCTTATTTCGCTTAGCATAATGGTCTCCAGGTCCATCCATGCTGTTGCAAATGGTAAGAATTCCTTCTTTTTACAGAAGCGTAGTATTCCGCTGTGTAGATGTACCACAGTTTTTTAATCCACTCATCTACTGATGAGTACTTAGGCTGTTTCCAAATCTTAGCTATTGTAAATTGTGCTTCAATGAACATAGGGGTGCATATATCCTTTCTGATTGGTTTTTCTAAAATTTACATATTTAATTCATGAATTAGTTATATCACTGATACACTTTCATAGTGAATGAGAGTCAGCATTTCTCTCTGGATATGAATATATATAAATAGGCCCAAATCTGTGCATACCTCTTGCTTTCTGTGCAGAGTCATCCCTCTATTCATTTCTGTAAAATTATATGTGGGAATAGTGAACATCACCATAAAATACTTATATTGTATTCCTAGGTCCTGGTGGCTTGTCCGAATGCTATGAATTCTTTGGTTACACTTCAAAAATATGGATTATTTGGTTCACTTCAATTTCTAGGGTAACATCAAAGCAGTGACTCCCCACTCTATTTCCTGGGAAGAATAGTCATGGAATGACCAGAAACAAAGATGTTCAGGCTATTTTCTACATTTTAGATTCTCAATTAGCATTGATGTAATACACATATCGAAGTTGCTTTATACATACATTATTTTTCTATAATCCACACATGTAACTTTGCTTTTACCCTGCCTGATCTGTTCAATTTAAATATGCCAACATATTTATGGCTCTTTTGGCTGACTGTGGGTACTTTGCTCTGTGCTTTATTATTGGTTAATAAATAATCTGACACATGCTATCTGGGTTGGGCTCATATTGGAATAGAAGTATACCGACCTTTTACAACACAAAATGTACCAAAAGAAATAGTGCATTAACTGATAGGATATCTAAAAGACTGGCAACTTGTTGTGCTTTTTGCTTTTGAAAATTTTGTTTCAAAAAAATTGTCAATGAAATAAAATGTGTTTAAAATAAAATAAATAAAAACAAAATGAAGACTGAAGTCCTGTTATTCTTTTTAGTTTTTCTGGTGGTTAATCAAGTAACATGTTTATATTATTTTTTATATGTTATATGTTAAATTTCTTATTGATAACTGAGGGTGAGTGGAAACACCAACCCTACTTCTCCTTATCCAATTCCATATAATATATATTTCCAGTGGTTACCTCTATAATTAAACAGCATACTTAAAGTCTAATTCTTGTTCTATACAGGACAAATATCTTGATTTCCTGCTTTATAAAAAGAAAGCAAAATAACACATTCTCCTCTATCACTCTTATGCTCTTTTTTATATACTTTTAAATTTCATGGTTATGAAGTTATATTTATCCAAATAGGATAGAATATAAAATTATGTTGGCTTGAATTATAAAAGTGAATATTTAAATACAGGAGATGTGAGCTTCAATTTGCTTTCTGGCCTCAGTCTCTGTAAATGTTAGAGGCAAATATATATATTCAAATATATTTGATTATATGCCCAAATATATTTGACTAGAGGCCAGGTGCACAAAAATTTGTGCACTTGGGGGGGGGTCCCTCAGCCCTGCCTGTGCCCTCTCACAGTCTGGGACCCCTCGGGGGATGACCATCTGCTGGCTGAGGCCTGCTCCTCAGGGGATTGGGCCTAAGCTGGCAATCAGACATCCCTCTGGCAGCCCGGCAGCCCTCAGGGGATGTCCACTTGCCAGTGGGGAGCAGACCTAAGCTGCAGTTGGACATCCTTAGCGCTGCTGAGGAGGCAGGAGAGGCTCCCACCACCACCACTGTACTGGCAGCCATCAGCCTGGCTTGGGGCTGAGCAGAGCTCCTCCATGTGAGAGTGCACATGCATTGAGCGTCTGCCCCCTGATGGTCAGTGTGTGTCATAGTGACCAGTCATTCCCAGTCTTTCTGCTGTTAGGGCCAGTTTGCATATTACCCTTTTACTATATAGGATAGAGGCCTGGTGCACAGGTGGGGGCCGGCTGGTTTGCCCTGAAGGGTGTCCCGGATCAGGGCAGGGGTCCCGCTTGGGTGCCTGGCCAGCCTGAGTGAGGGACTGAGGGCTGTTTTCAGGCTGCCATATGCTAATTGACTGCCCCGCCCTCAAATATGGCAGCGCCCACAGCCACAAGATGGTGGCACTTAGTCTCCTCAGCTTCCCCAGCTGTCCAGGGCTGGGCTGAGGCGCAGGCAAGCCTCGGATGGTGGCTTCCCAGCCACCCAGGGCTGTCCAAGGCTCAGTTAACCAAGGCCGGCCGAGGCTTGCCTGCAGTGGCAGCAACAGAGGTGTGATGGGGCATCACCTTCCCCTGATCGCCAGGTCGCCTCCTGCCCCTGAGGGCTCCCGGACTTTGAGAGGGGGCAGGCTGGGCTGAGGGACCCCCCCTCCAGTGCATGAATTTTCATGCCCTGGGCCTCTAGTATGTGTGTGTGTATATATATTCAGATATGGGTATATATATTTTATTATACAAATGTTAACGTATAATGCACATGTATGTACCTTCTTGTTTTTTTAACAATATATCCTAAAGTTTTCTCATATAACATAACTAAGAGCTGCAAGCTGTTCTGTATGAATATCATATCATACCTGGCTCTTAGCAAGAAGTCATTTATATTACATCATATAGTTTTGTCTTGCCTAGAATTTCATATAAATGGAATAATATAGTATATAGTGTTAGCATCTGGCTTATTTCACTTTTAATAATGCTTTTAATATTTTTCAAAGTTGTGCATATAGTAGTTCATTCTTTTTTCTTTCTGAGTAGTATTCTCATTTTGTGTTTGTATCATATATTACCTACCAATCATCACATGATATACTTTTATTTTCTGTGCTTGACTATTAGGAATCTTTTCTGTACATTTCATAACAAGTCTTTTCATGAACATATGTTTGATTTCTTTTGGATAAATTCCCAGAAGTGGGATGGTGGCATCATTAAGTATGTACATATTTAGCTTTATAAAAATACTAGAGGCTGGGTGCAAGAATTTGTGCATGGGTGGTGTCTGGTCCACCCACCCTGATTGGGGTGTTGGGGACCTATCCAGGGCTGGGCCGGCTGGGGGCAGGGTGGGGGGCCGATTGGGGCCCAGATCAGGCTGGTTGGCTGCCACAGTGCACATCATAGCCACCAGTCATTCTGGTCATTCTGGTTGTTCCGCCATCTGGTCTCTGGGCTTTTATATATGTAGATAAAAACTGCCAAAATGGTTTTCAAAATGGGAAAATTTTCAGTTCCCACCAGCAATGTATGGAAGCTTCAGATGCTCCACAACTCAACACTTTTGTTAAGCTCTTTTTAAATTTTAGCTATTCTAATGGAGTTATGTTGCTCTCTCATATTGTGTGAGTTTACATTCCTGTAATGACTAATTGTGTTTTGCATCTTTTATGTCCTTGTCATTTAGGTATCATCTTTGATGACATGTTTAATACTCTATCAATTTTTAATTGGGTTATCTCTTACTGAGTTGTAAGAGTTCTTTATGTATTTAGATACAATTACCTCATCCTATATATGTTTTGCAAATGCTGTGTCCCAGCCTGTGAATCAACTTTTCATTTTTCTTAAAATGATGTTTGTTTAGAATGATAAAAGTATTTTATTTTAATAAAGTCAAATTTATCACTTTTCCATGTTTTATGAATTATGTGCCTTTTATATGAAATCTTAGTCTAATTTAACGTATCAAAGCTTTCCCTCTGTTCTTTTCTGGGTATTTTGTAGTTTTAGCTCTTATATTTAAGTGTTTTATTCACTTAGAAAAATTTTGCCTGTGGTATGAGGTAAATATTAGGGTTAAAATTCTAACATATGGATATCCAATTGTTCTAGGACCATTTGCTAAAAGACTATATTTTGTAGTCTGTCAATTTTGTTGAAAATCCCAGGACCTATGTTTGAGTCTATTTCTTAATTCTATTTGGTTTTATTGATACATTTTTTTGTACTTATGCCAATGCCACATGATCTTGATTGTTGTAGCTTTGTGTTAAATCTTGAAATCAGGTACTATAGGTCCTAGAACTCTACCATCCTTTTTTAATAAAATGTTTTTATTATTATAAGTCCTTTTCCTATTCTTAGAAATTTTAAAATCTGCTTGTCTATTAGAAAAAAAAAATAACACCAGAATTTTTTTTTTCAGTTTGCATCAAATCTATAGATAAATTTGGGGAAATTTGACACTTAAATGACATTCAATCTTCATCTATGAGCATTGTTTTTCCTTCACTTATTTAGACCTTTAATATTTACTCAGCAATATTTTATAGTTTCTAGTGTTATTTCCCTCAGTATTTCATGTTTTTATATCTGGAAATTGATTCTGTATTTAACTTCCATTCATCTGTTGTTATAAAATAGAAATGCAATTGATATTTATATATTGATCATGCATCGTGAAACTTTGTCAAACTATTCATTCAGCAATTTTATTATCTACTAGAGGCCCAATGCACGAAATTCGTGCAAGGGCCTTGGCCCAGGCCCCTGCACACCACTGCGGCAGCCGGGGGCCTCTGCTGCCTCTGCCACCTCTGCCGCAGCCCCCGCCCACTTGTGGCTTTGTCCGAAAGGAAGAACGTCTGAAAGGACATTGGTCTAATTAGCATATTACCCTTTTATTATTATAGATTTTGTAGATTGCTTCAGATTTTGTCTATAGATGTTTACACCATATGAGGGTAAAAGTCCTTTTATTTCTCTTCTAATTAGTATTTCTTTTGATGCTCTTTCTTGCATTATTGCACTGGCCAGCATCTGCCATAAGGTTTAATAGAGGAAGGAGGTTGTTTATTCTTGTAATATTCCCAATCTTATGAGGCAAATGTCTTCTGCTATAAAATATCTCAGCTGTAGTATTTTGTAGATACTGTTTATCAGCTGGGAAAGTTGCATTCTAATCCTAGTTTGCTGACCAATCTGTCTAGATGTTCATCCATTTTATTAATCTTTTCAAAGCACCTGGTAATATTTACATACTATTTCCTTTTGTTTTTCTCTCTTCTCTTTCATTTATTATTTTTACATTTTTTTTTACTCTTTCTTCTTTTTTACATTAGGTGCATTTTTCTCTTATTTCTTTCACCTTTTAAATGTAAATGCCTATATTAATTTGTGGCTTTTTTTCTTACATAGCAGTTTATTGCTTTCTGTTCCCTCCTGTGCTTTACTTTCACTTCAACTCACAATACAACATATTGTGTTCATCTTTATTCAATTTGAAATGCACTAACATTCCTTATGATTTCTTTTTTTTCCCTTGTGGGTTCATTTGAAGGTTTTTACATTCTTGACATATACCAATTTTCCAGATACCATGTGCTTGGTTCCTAGTTCATTCTGTTGTGGTCAGAGAAGTACTTTTAAAAAATTGAAGTTCACTTAGTCTTTTATTGTCCAGATATATTTTGTCTTAATTGTTTTTGTATAAACTTGAAAAAAAATAACTCTGCTACTGTTAGGTGAAGTGTTCTATAAATATGAGTTAAATTTGGTTGATAATGTTGTTCAATATTCTTGTTTTATAAATTACTATTATTCTATCAATTTCTGAGAAAGGGGAATTAAAGTGACAAAATATAATTGTGTTTTTCTTCCTCTTCTTTTAAGTTTTTGTTTCATGTATATTACATTTATCTTATTAAATGCACACACAATTAGGATTGTTTTATCCTCTTAATAAACTGACCCACTTATTATAAAATGCAGCTCTTTATTCACAGTAATATTCCTTCTTCAGAAATATGGGAGAAAGAATTGTAAAGAGAATTTTTTTGGAAAGAGCTCTTGTCATGTTGATATTTTGCAAGGCCCAACAAAGTATATTCTTTTTCCTATCAGTGATCAGAGCCAAGAAGAACAAGTCAGGGAAAAGTCAGCTTTATTACTAAAAACATTTATTTTGAAGAGTATGATATAAATGTACATAAACATGGGCTTCCCAATTCTATCCTTCAGAATGAGGCATATTTCCCAGCCAGTCATTGGCATCAATTGACAACAGAGTCTCTGATGGTGATACAAAGTAAAAAATCCTAATTAATTTCTGAATATTTCTCCCATGGACCTCCTTTCCAAATCCTAAATGAGTTACATACTCATTCAATGCTAAGTGGAACATCAAAGTTCACCTCACATTTCATCTTTTTTTTTTATCTCTTAGGCAATTTAATTGAACTTTAGAGGTATCTTTCCCTCCCTTCTCTCTACTCTACAATCTGTTTCACTGAAGCATGCTCATTTACCAGTTATGACCAAGACCATCACTATACTCATAAGATTAGCTGCACCAACATATGTGGTCCAGTATAAGTTGTGAAAACATATTGCATACATTTATCTCTTGGTTCTTTTACATCTATACAGTGTCGAGTATGTGCTGGGTATTGTTCTGGGTATGTGAGAGAGATTCATGAACAAAGCAGACAGAAATCCCCGTTCTCATTCTAGAAAGATTAACATCTCAGGTTAGTTTCTTGGCTTGTTAGAGATGTTTTTAAATAAAGATAAAAATTAAATTTTTATCAGTAAACTTAGGATATTTGTTTGATGGGAAGGAAAATGTATGTGAATTTAGAATACATAAAAAGCTAGATTTTCTTTAATTGCTTTAACTCATGAAAGGGGAACTAAGGACAAACACCTTTTCTACTGCATATATATTTTTTTGCATTTTCACAATTGGCACTACTTATGCCCTTCTTAAAAATGAAGGCACAGTTTCCCCTTCCTTTGATAGTGAACCTGGAACAAAACAGAGAGATTATTTACTAAACCTCATTAAAAAAACACACACACACAAAAAACAAAAAACAACAACAACAAAAAAAACAAAACAATAAAACTAGGCACAGCCTAAAATATATAATGTAAACTTTGGTGACCATGTTTCAAAATGTGCAATGTGAAACTAATAGAGGGAATAAAATGAGCTGCTTCTCTTCTCTTATTAGTCTTCCAACTTTACTCAGCACCTTTGTTAGGGGAAGAAATGAACACTATGGAAGTTTACTGCCTTAATAACAAAGACAGTCCCGGATCTTTATGCTGTTTTATAATGTAGTAAACCTTGTAAATCATTTTGTTGATTAATTCTTCTCTTTATACTTTCAGATAAGAATTAATAAATCCATTTACTTAGCTATTTAAAGATTATGTATAGGGAGAATGCAATGAATATTTCAATGACCACCCTTCACACATTTAAAACATTGGTCTATGTCAGGCAGGGGTGGGCAAACTTTTTGAATCGAGGGCCACAATGGGTTCTTAAACTGGACCGGAGGGCCGGAACAAAAGCATGGATGGAGTGTTTGTGTGAACTAATATAAATTCAAAGTAAACATCATTACATAAAAGGGTACGGTCTTTTTTTTTTTTTTAGTTTTATTCATTTCAAACGGGCTGGATCTGGCCCGCGGGCCGTAGTTTGCCCACGGCTGGTCTATGTTAAGGCCGAAACATATATTTCCTTTGTCCACTCTTTGCAACCATCACCATAGTGAAATAAGTATTTTGTATTTTACTATAATAAACATAAATAATTATAAACAAAATATCTAGAAAGAGTTTATGAATTCTATTTTAAGTCATATAAAAACATAGGGAATTATTCAAAAGAGAAATAGAATGGTAAATCATGAATTTATGGTTATATCATAATTAAAATGCTTTCAGCACTTCCTTTTTGGGGGGAACTTTGTAACACTTGGTGTGCACTTTCTTAATTTCTAGGATATCTTAAAAATTTTATCCTGCCAGTTTTAAAAATATATGTCTATTTCAGTGCCTATGCATTCCTTAGTGTCAACTGAGAACTCACCAACTCTGATGGACTGAATTATGACCCCCCTCCCCCAAATTTATGTTATAGACCTAACCCCCAGTAGCTCAGAATGTATTTGTATTAGAGCATAAAGTGTTTTCCAAGGTGATTATGTTAAAATGATGTCTTTAGAGCAAGCCTTAATCCAATATTACTGGTGTCTTTCTAAGAAGAAGAAAATTAGATACAGATAGGTGTTGGCAGAGGGAAGGCCATGTGAAGAGAGAGAGGGAGAAGATGGCTATCTACAAATCAAGGAGGGAGGCTTTATAAGAAATCAACCCAACTGACACTTCGATCTGGGACTTCTAATCTCCAGAACTGCTGTTTAAGGCATCTAGTCTGATATAACAGTAGCCTAAGCAAACTAATATACCAACTTTAAGCAACAAATAACTCTTTTACTTCTCCCTCGTTTTTAAAATGAACTACATATCCTATCTAATAAAAGAGAAACATGGTAATTAGCCGTACCTCCGCTACCCTTCCCATTGGCTAATCAGGGCGATATGCAAATTAGTTGCCAGCCA